ATCAAGGAATAAACTTAACCAAGAAAGTGAAAGACTTGTACATTGAAAACTACAAAACATTGCTGAAGAAATTAAAGAGGACCTAAATAAATGGAAAGACATCCTGTGTTCTTGGGTTGAAAGACTTAATACTGTTAAAATGTCAATACCACCCAAGTGACATACAGATACAATGCAATCCCTATCAAAATTCCAATGACCTTTTTCTGCAAATAGAAAAGCCGATTCTCAAATTCACATGGAATTGCCAGTGGCCCCAAATGGCCAAAACAATACTGAAAAAGAAAAAGTTCAGGGAACCAGATCTCCTAATTTCAAAACTTACTAGACAGCTACAACAACCAAAACAGTGTGGAACTGGCATACGGGTAAACATACAGATCAACGGAATGGAACTGAAAGTTCAGAAACAAATCTTCACATTCACGATCAGTTGATTTTGACAATGGTGCCAAGACAATTCAATGGGGAAAGAACAGTCCTTTTAAGAAATGGTGCTGGGACAACTGGATATTCACATGGAAAAGAAAGAAGTTGGACCCCTACCTCACACCAGACACAAAAATTAACTCAAAATGGATCAGAGATAAACATAAGAGGAAAAACTATAAAACTTTTGAAAAGAAAACGCAGGAGTAATTCTTTGTGACCTCGGGTTAGACTTAGATACAACACCAAAAGCACGATCCACAAAAGAAATAATTGATAAAGTCTCTGAGAAGGGCCTTGCTTCCAAAATATACAAAGAACTCTTACAACTCCATAATAAGATAAAAAAAAATTAAAAATGAGCAAAAGATTCGTATAGCTATTTCACCAAAGAAGACTCTGAAGGGCTAATAAGCACATGAGAGCACGCTCAACATCACTAGTCATGAAGGAAACGCAAAACCATGATGAGACACCACTTTTCACTCACTGAAATGGATATAATAAGGAGACAGACAATACCCAGTATTGGTGAGGATGTGAAGAAACTAGACCTCGTTGCTGGTGGGAACGTAAAATAGCAAAGCCATTTAGGATATCATTTTGGTAGTTTCTTAAAAAGTTAAAAATATATTTACCATATGATCTAGCAATTCTACTCCTAGGCATCTATCCCAGAGGGATGAAGACATGTTTCCGCACAAAGACATGTACTTGACTGTTCATAGCAGCATCATTCATAATAACCAAAAAGCGGAAACGATTCACATGTCCATCAACTGGGGAAGAGACAAATAAAACGTGGAATATCCATACAACAGAACGCTATTCAGCAATAAAAACAAAGAACCACTGATGCATGCTACATCATGAATGAACCTCAAAAACATCATGCTAAGTAAAAGAAGCCAGGCACAAAAGGTCACATTATTGTAGGGTCCAATTTATAGACAAAGTCCTAAAAAGGTAAAATCTCTAAGACATAATTGGTGGTTGCTTGGGGCTGGGAGTAAGAACAGGGATTGTCCGCAAATGGGTATTTTTGGGAGTGGTAGAAATGCTCTAAAACTGTATTTTGGTGATGGCTGCACACTTATTTATTAAAAATCATTGAGTCGAGTGCACATAGGTGAATTTCATGGTATGTAAATTATACCTAAATAAAGAGTTTTTTAAAAAAATTAAAACCCAGAACATGAGAATATGAGCATCATCTAAAACAGAGGTGAGCACAAAAGCTAATACTGTGTTTCCAAAGAACAGAAGAGCCCAGAATGGCTGCAGGTCTGGTCCAGCCTGAAGCCTAGAGATTGGCTTCCCATCCTTTACAACCCTGCAAATCAACTGCTCCTAGAAACCGAAGCGAATGTGCCTATCTGTGACGGTTAATTTTATGCATCAACGGGACTGACCACGGGGTGTCCAGATTAAACATTATTTCTGGGTGTGTCTGTGAGGGTGTTTCCAGATGAGATTAGCATTTGAGTCAGTGGACCCACTGAAGTAGATTGCCCTGCCCACTGTGGGTGGGCATCATTTAATCTGCTGAGGCCTGAACAGAACAAGAGACGGAGGAGGGAGGAATTTGCCCCCGTTTTCCTGTCTAACTGCTGAGCTGGGACATCTCATCTCATTTTCTCTGATCCTGGGAATTACACCAATGGCTCCTCTGGTTCTCAGGCCTCCAGACTTGGACCGAATTACACCACCGGCTTTCTTGGGTCTCCAGCTTGCAGACGGCAGATCGTGGGACTTCTCAGCCTCCATAATTACATGAGGTAATTCCTCATAAGAAATATTTCCATCTCCCTCTCCCTCTCTCTCCATATATATCTCCTATTGGTTCTGTTTCTCTGGAGAACCCTATTACACTATCCTTCTACCAAATGAGGCCAAGTTCAATACATCATCAGGCATAATTCTAGAAACATAAAATGGCTCCCTGAAAACAGAGATCTCAAAGCATCTTGGTTTCCATATATTCATAAATCACCTCAAGCATCCAGCTGCATGTTCAGTGTGCAGCACTCACTCTCTACATCTGCCTCACAGGACTTCATAATTCACCAACTGGGACTATGTTGCATCTCTTTTTTTTTTTTTTAAAGATTTTATTTTTTTTCCTTTTTCTCCCCAAAGCCCCCCAGTACATAGTTGTATATTCTTCGTTGTGGGTCATTCTAGTTGTGGCATGTGGGACGCTGCCTCAGCGTGGTTTGATGAGCAGTGCCATGTCCGCGCCCAGGATTCGAACCAACGAAACACTGGGCCGCCTGCAGTGGAGCGCGCGAACTTAACCACTCGGCCACGGGGCCAGCCCCTGCATCTCTTTTTTTTAAAATAAGCTGTCCACTTATCACAGACCCACCGTTTCATCAGATTCTCTCTTGAAACCTCTGGAGTTACACAATCCAGACCCTTGCTTCCAAGCAGTATTACCCCAATCCAGACAGAGGAGTCGTAAGCAAACTCTCCTTAAAAGTCCTCTGATTTACTGTGACAGGCTATTTCAATCTTTAATCACCATTAGTTGAGACATGTCCATTCTGCTGATATCGACCTTTTTTGAGTTCACCCTATTTTCGTGCCATCTGGAATAGAAAAAGTAACTGTCTCCCTACTTTCCAAAAGGGGATAACATTTGAAAATGACCATGAACATTACCTCCCAAGGTTCATTTCCCTGCAACCTTTCCCCTTAGATACTGTTTTCTACTCTTCCAGCCACCTCTGGTCCTTTACTTTGCTCTCCTGAATGCTCTAAATTTTCACACTCCATCAAGCATGACAACCAGCATTGGGTACAGAATTCTAAAGTAACGCCAAATATAGCAGAGAAATTAGTTACCAAATTCTTTAGAATAAGTTCATTCCTAAAAAACAAACAACCAACCAACCCAGGGAGAATGGTGCCATAGTATAATTAGAATTACCAAGAATGTGAAGGAATTCCTGGGTGTTTAGAGGAGGAAGAAGGTACCAGAAGGGAGGGTATGCAGTGGAATGGCAACAGAATAATACTAAGTCTCCTGGAGGACAAGAATATTTCTAGGCTCCAATACACCCAACAGGATGGAAAAAGAGTTTTCTTCCTTGCACCTTGCCTTAATGTAATTCCTTTTTTAAGGAATAACTATTTCCTAGACATTCCTTGTATTAAATCCAAGTTATGTCTTTTCACTTGTGCAACAAATATGGAACCACAGACATTAAGTGCTGGAAGTCATCTATGAACAAAATGAAAGAGTTCAACCTTCTCAATTTACTGACAAGGACAGTGAGAATTGGGTGGGGGGCGGGGTGGGATGACTGCCCCAAGTTACTTAGAGACAGGGCTGGGACTACAACCTGTGCCTCCCAGCCTCAGGCCCAGATTCCTTGACTGGACCCCTGTGTCTCCAGGAAGGAGATAACTTAAGAAATCAAGATCTAGAAAGAACAAGAAAGACCTCCACAAGTGGACACTATCAGTATATAAAAGGGACAAAATGAAGTGGCATATCTTCCCATTTCTTTACCTGAGAGGAACTCAAAACCACCCTGCTGCCTTATTTTACAGGCGGCTTGTTAAATCCACGCTCCAGTGGTAATGACATAAACTATACCACTCATTTTGTTTCTAGAACTTCATCCTCTGGCTCGGAGGAGGAGGGTCAAGGCTTCCGCCTCAAGGAGGGTGCTCTTCTGGGTGCTGGAGCCGCAAAGTCACGCAAAGCTCCCACTCCCCTGCACAGGGCACCCTTGGGAGAGCTCCACCTCCTGGGTCCTTTTCTCCCTCTCCCTCTGGGAACTCCAACTGGAACTGGAAAAGAGGCAGGAGGCCATTCCCTTCTAGAAGGGCCACTGGGAAGGAGGCTGAGGGTCAAAGGGAAGGGACGAAGGACCTGTCCTCAGTCTAGATCACAATTTCTCAAAGCACAATGCCACGGGTCTGGGTGGATGGACAGTCTAGGGGACATTCAAAGGCACAGGATAACCGTGGCACAATTTCCAAGGACATGATCTCACTCAAATGTTTTTAGGGAGGGGATTTCATCATACAATTCAAATCAACACAGCGTTATCACTGTGTCTTGCAGGAACTTTTAAGCCAAATGGGGAGACTTTAGCACATAAGGGGGACAGAAGGAAGTGGAATTCCCTCCTGTGTCTATTCAGCTCATGGCAGGGAACTTCAGGCTAGGCCCCTGTATTAACTGGGGTATGAGTTCATGTTTCTCCATCGTTGGGGATACTCTGGGGGAAGTACGCAGGTACTGGTTCCAGCAAAAAGAATCTTGGTGGTCCACAGGGACACCGACCCAGCTCAGAAGGAGACAGCCAGACGGTTCTAGGCTCAAAGTCCTAGTGCATAACAAAGAACAAGTACACTTTCCTGACCTTGCCTTCCGCCTCACACCCTGGACGGCTAAGTGAGGCCTAAGCTAGCTGACAGCTTGAGGGATAGCTGTCCCTGTTAGGAACACAACCAGCAGGAACAATGAGAAATCACTTTGCTATCTGTGGGATTTTCAGGCAAGCATTTTATGCATTTACAATTACAAAGTGAAAATTTGAAAATATAATACTCACTGCGTTTTTTTGAGTTACCATATCCTGAAAAGAAAAAGAAATGATACGATGAATATAGTTTTTTTTTTCAAAACAGCTAATTTCCATAAGCACCAGCAGCCACTTTGTCCCGCCACCCATCATCCAGCACCCACCTTAGAGCAAGAGTTAATCATCTGAAACCTCCCCTCGAAAAAAGCCTTTAAATAGGATAAGAATTGTAAAACTCATGTTCTAAGGAAAATTTATCATAATTGGTTAGCGTTGGAACTACCGAGGGGCATATGGTTATAAGGATTTTCCCATAGCAGTGGCAATGATTTTGTCCAAAGCTATCTGAGATTCAAGTTTGGGGCTCTAAATGCCCTGCACTCTGCCTTCCCAGTGAAGAATGGCAGGGACGGCAAGGAAGTGCACGGGAGGCACTGTGGTATCCTCAGGTCTGGAACTATTTCTTGACCTATCAATGTGAAGGCTGCAGGCCACCTCCCCGTCAGCCGTCCTACAGAAGGGGCTTTGCTGGTAGGATTCCTTTCACCTCGTTATAATTGGCAAGAATTTTCAAATTCAATGACAATCCCCTTAGTCAGTTAACTTAGTATAATGGTTATGCAGCCCTCGACTGTATCATTCATGCATTGTAAGCCAACATTTGCCAAGAAAAGAAAACATAATTAAACAGCTGCCCCGTAAAACATGTTTCATATGTTCTGAGATTTCTATTTTCTGATGACAAGTGCAGATTGCTTCTTCTGGCATCAGATATAACTGACTACCCATTTCCATTTTAGGAAATATTTTTCCATATCATTAAAAATTAAAACGTATCTAGGTCACGCGACCTTCCAGAGGAGTTCACTAAGGCGCAGTTGAGGAAAAAAATGTATTGAACTGGAAAAAAATACATTCTAATTTCATGTTTCTCGTGAAAACACACCTTAATAATCTACCCTTTCATAGTTTCTAATGCTAACTATTTCTAAGCATAACTACTTCAGTGAAAAATCACTAAGAGAAAAAAATCAATATCTAAATATCTAAAGTGATTTAGATTGGTTTATAGCCTTTTGGGAAACTATTCCACAGTATAAAGTGTAACAATGAAACAGTTTCTTCTTTCACTATCACGTGAATGACTTCCTGAAACACAGTTCCGTGCTATAATTACAGAGTACACATCCATGTAAAGCGTATGTGGTATAGAACATGTACAGGTTACACATGTGAAGCAGGTAGTATTTCTACCAGGAAATAAGCCCAAATTATTACAGAACCCGGAAAAATCTGGTTAATATTAAATCTCAAGAAACACAAACAAAAATGTCCAACTTTGCCATCACAAAATTGTGCTACTTATACACTAGCGATTTTTAATGCTAAGGGAGCTGGACATTTAGAAATGATGTCCGAGAAGGCTAACTCTGAACCACTGGTTCTCACCGGTGGCTGCACATTTAGGAGGTTAAAAAAATCCCCTAGAGATTGTGATGTAACTGGTGTGGGGTGTAGCCTGGGTAGTGGGATATTTACAAGCTCTCCAAAGATTCTAAAGTGCAGTCAAGGTTGAGTAAGATTGTTGTAAACAAACTAATCTTTTATTCCTGAAATGATTTACACAGACCAGAACCTTCTGACTAATGTTAAGATATTAAACTATATTAATATTAGCTCAATTTTGTAATAACTCACCTTATATAATCACATTTTATGAATATGAGCATTTTTTTAAAGTACTATGTTATCCAAAAAAGCTTGTAGAAAACTTGCAAAAATACATTTAAAAATTCTCAATAATTACTGAGTTGTGCATGAACACACAAGTTTTCAGTTTTGCTCTGCTTTAAACTGGGGGGAGATAACATTAAATACTGATTATGTGCTAAAATTTATCTGTGCTAAAGTTTCTTCCCATTCTGGTAACTTTTAAATGTCTTCATATTATTATCCAAGCTGAAAACTGATTTTTCTTAATGTGTAGGTTTGGATCAAATTGCCCATTAAAGGATTCAGGGTGGTGTGTTTGTTTCAACGGAAGCTAACCGGAGTTTTTGCCTTTGCTTCCCTAAGGAGCCTGGAGACATTCAAGTTGCCTGCAAATACACACGTGTAGCACACATGCTCACACAGTAGCCAGGAATTCATCTGTGTGAGCTAGAACCTGGGGTGGGAGGGAAGCAACTACACAAACAAATCTTTACTGTTTTTCTCCAACCTCCTTTGCTACACGTGCATTTTTTAAAACTGAGCTAACAATGGTTTATAACATTACATAAGTTTCACGTGTACAACATTATAATTCGACTTCTGTATACACTACAGCATGCTCACCACGAAAATCTAGTTTCTTTCTCCCACCATACAACTGACACCCTTTACCCATTTCGCCCTCCCTCCACCTCCCCCTTCCCCTCCCCTCTCCTTCCTTGTACATATACATATATACATACACATACATACATACATACATACACACACACACACACACACACACACACGTACCACATCTTATTTATCCATTCATCTGTCAACAGGCACTCTGGTTGTTTCTATATCTTGGCTATTGTGAAAAATGCTGTACTGAACACAGTGGTGCATGTATCTTTTCAAATTAGTGTTTTTGTATTCTTCAGATAAATAGCCAGAAGAGGAATAGCTGGATCATATGGTAGTTCTATTCTTAATTTTTTGAGGAACCTCCATACTATTTTGCATAGCAGCTGCACCAATTTACATTCCCACCAGCAGGCTACACATATATTTCAACTGAACATATAATACTGCTTTCCAAAATGAAGTATTCAGGAGAAGGCGAACAATACCCTTTACCTTCAATGAAAGAGCAGTGTCAGGGTCGGTGTCATGGTACAGGATCACATTATTGGCCATGTCGAAGCTTTCACGGACTCCAAGATGGTAGAAAAGTGAAGGCTGTCTGGAGACATCACTCATGTCCACCACTGCAACATCTGAGCAGAAGTGAGGAATGATTTGATTAAAATTACCCTATGAACTGTGGAAGAAAAGCAACAAGAATGGAAAAAAAAAACCCCAAAAAACAAAAAGTCTTTCTTCTTCAAAGTGCTGGGAACACAGCCTCACTTACAAATTGCTGGTGGGGGTGTTTTTTTTTTCTTTTTTTTTGTTTTTTTTTTTTTTTTTTTGCTGAGGAAGATTGGCCCTGAGCAAACACTGTTGCCAATCTTCCTCTATTTTGTAGGTGGGTCACTGCCACAGCACTGCCACTGACAACTGGTGTAGGTCCGTGCCCAGAAACTGTACTCAGGCCACTGAAGTGGAGCATGCTGAACCTAACTACTAGGCCACGGGGCTGGCCCCTGCTGGTGGACTTTTAATGTTATTTTTATTAGGAAATATATCACATCCAAAGAATATATTTAGCTTATATATGAAGTATAAAGTATAATGAAATGAAAAAGCATGTAGCCCAAGACACAGAGCATTATCTGTACTGTCAGAGCCCCACATGCCTTTCCCTACTCATATCTCCTCTCTTCTGTCCAGAGAACACCTCTACCCTCATCTCTGTATTTATCACTTCCCTGCATACACATGCATATGCATATTACATATTATTATAATGTTTTAATTCCTAAATAGTATATTGTTTAGTTTTGCATGTCTTTGAACTTTATATAAATAGCATCATACTGTATGTACTCTTTGGCTTGCTGTTTTTTTGGCGTGATACAGCCAATTTGTATGTCGAGCTCTGGTTCATGCATTTTCAGTTCAGCATAGCATTCCATTATAGGATGGCTAGATGGCAATTTCTTTATCCATCCTGTCTATAGACATTTTGTACATTTTTTTCCTTTTTCAAACTACTGTAAGGAACATTCCTGCACCATGCTCCTGTTTCACATGTCCACCATCAATCTGACGATGTAGATCAAATGCCCCTGGAGCGGTGTCCTAGGGAGATCTTATTCAAAATAGGGAGCACCAATAAAGAGCATGTTTAAACGTATTGGAGAGAGTAGAAGAGCTCCAAGTTTGATTGGACTTTTGCCACCACGTGCAGCAGAGACTTTTAGAAAGTAATGTCCAACCTTCTGCTTACAGTGCTGTGACTCATAGGAAGTCACTGAAAATCCCAATGAAACAGAAAAGAGGAGAGGTGAACAGGGGCGCGAAGAAACAAGAAGGCAGGCAGAAGCCACGTCAGCACCCGATACCGCTGGCTCTGTGCAGAGGCACCGGGAGACCGGGCCGAGCATCAACAAGCCCTGAGTGGGCCTTCTATTCTCTAATTTATGCACTGTCGGCTATATGCCAGGCATTGGGCTGATACGAGGGATAGAAGCGTGAACAAGGCATAATCCCTTTCCTCAAAAAAATGTGTAATACAATGGGGGTGACAGGAAGGAAGCAGTGATGAGAATCACGGTCAGGAGGGCTAAAGTGAGGGGAACGGTGACAGAGGCACCCCTGGGAAGGTTCCTCACCCACACTCGGGGGAAGGGCCATCAGGGGAGGCCCAGAGGAAGTGATGTTGTCTGGGACCTGAGGGTCCATAAGAGCTAGGCAGGCAAATCAGGGTAAGGATGAGGGGGATGGAAAGGGAAGAAAAGAGCATTGTACGAAGAGAAGACAGCAAGTGCAAAGGGCCAGAGGTAAGATGGAGTGTAAGTGTTGGGGCCATTGCAAATCATGTCATGGGACCAGGACACCTGAGAAGATGAACCTGGAAGGGTTAGTAGGTGCCAGGCAGTGAAGGGGTCTGAAGGCCATGTTAAGATGGCTGGACTCTACCTTGAGGCAATGGGGAAACCTATGGTAGTTTGGGGTATTTTTTAATGTTTATTATGGAAAATTACAAATATATATAAAAGTAGACAGAATAGTATACTGGAACCCCCATATCCCCTCACCTCCCTCAATAATTATCAACTCAGCCAGCCTTGCTTCATCTCTACTGTCATCCACACCACTGCCTTCCATATTATTTTGAAGCAAGTCCCAGGCATATCATTTCATCCCCAAATATTTCAGAATGTATTGCTAAAAAATAGGAACTCAAAGAAAGAAATAAATAACCATAGAATCAGTGTCTCACCTAAAATTTTAAAGAAATAATCATGAGTTTAGATAGGAGACTATCATATCCAAATTCACCCTTTAGAGGTTGTTGCTCAAGAAAGGACAAATGTAAATGCTGAGGAAACACTTTACAACCCAGCCTGGTTAATTTATCTCAAATGGATAAACGTTCCCCATAGACATTCGCTTGGAGTCAAAAATCATACTGCAGCTGAATAAATTAGACATTCTGCCTATACGATCGTTCCCTGGACCCTATTACCTACTCAAATTAAAGAGAATGTGCTTCCTAGTGATGAGATTAAGAGGTGGCAACACAGATGGTAATTTCAAGGCCACGGAGACTGCTACAATTAGTTAATAAAGCAAACAAAGTAAACAGAGGGCAACAAAGGAGAGGGGTTGGAAGGGGCAGAGGACAGGGATGGATAGCAGCCCTCAAGTCCCAAAGGCCATTTTCATAGGAAAGCTGCAACTTGGTGGAGTAGCTGTCACCGAGTAGGTTAAATTTTAATCTGGTGACACGGAGTTCCTTCTTTCCTCGGCCTTCTCAACGTCCTGTGCTGGGACCTACACAGTGGCCTTAGCACTTCCTCTAAGGAGCCCCTCCATGGCTCCACCAAGGGTTGGGATAGAGACCTTTCAGTGACTAATTAGAACAGGACAGATTGATATTGCTACTGCAAAAAAATTCCAAGTAATTCATGTTAAATAAGAAAATTGTCTCAAACCCAAAGTTGACATTTTGCCTGACATCTGTCACTCAGGCCAGTCGATTAAGTTTACTTTGAGGATTTATACCACAATATTCAACCAGCTTATCTTTAGAACTTCTAAGACAGTAATTTAGTAGATTCATAAATGTTAAATATGACAAAACATCAGATTAGAATTTTTATTATATATGAGGAATCAAGGGTTTTTTTCCCTGAAGACATCATAAATCACCTAAAAGCTGCAATCGTCACAATGCTCACTTGCTTTGCCATTTACAAAACACTTCCACGGACATCTCGCTGAATTTCAGAAACACTCTGTGAGGCAGGCAGGGCAGGCATTGGCTCCACTTTGTAGGGGGGGAAATGAAGCGTTAAGAGGGTAACACATTCGCCCAAGGTCACGCAGCTAGGGCACGACAGAGTCAGGGCTCAAACTCAGCCAGGTTCTGTGCTCTCCAGGGCCCAGATGAGGCTTACTACTCTCCTGACTCAATTTCTGAAATGGAGCCACCTGGGGGCAAAACAGTTTACTTATCCAGCTAAACGTTAGGCAAACAGATCACAGATAAAAATGGAGAGAGAAAATTCAGGTTTTCACTCACAAATGCACCCTGTGCTCCCAGCAACATGACCCTCCAGTTCTGACGCAGGCCAGCCTCAGGGAAAAAGCCTAAAGCCTGCCTCCTTGATGGGGGACCACACACACCAGCTACCCACCTTGCTTTAATGAACCTTAAGAAGTGATACCTCATCCAAGACTGCAAAAAGCCAAGGCTCCCGTTAAAATCTACTCTTAGCAGGAAAGTGTCTAAATTTAAAATTGAAGTGCCCTTCAAACGATTTAAGAACCAATTACAATTATCTCACTACATGCTAATATGAAATAAGAAAGAAGGATGTATAGGGTTTTAAGCTCATTAAAAACTTTTGAACACTATCTTGAGCATTTTTGTGAAATGTTTCTTAAGTAATAAGCAAAACTATAATTTTCTAGTGTGGTTTAACAGTATCTGATTTCTTCAAAAAATTAAGAATAGAACTACCATATGACCCAGCTATTCCACTGCTGGGTATTTATCCAAAGAACACAAAACCACGAATGTGTAAAGATACACGCACCCCTATGATCATTGCAGCATTATTCACAACGGCCAAGACATGGAAGCAACCTAGGTGTCCATCAAGGGATGAATGAATAAAGATGTGGTGTATACGTATACACACACACACATATATACACACATATATACACACACAATGGAATACTACTCAGCTATAAAAAAGATGAAATCTTGCCATTTGTGACAACATGGATGGAGCTTGAGGGTATCATGCTAGTGAAATAAGTCAGACAGAGAAAGTCAAATACTGTATGATCTCACTCATAAGTAGAAGAGAAAAACAACAACAACAACAAACACACACATAGATACATAGATTAGACTGGTAGTCAACCAGAGGGGAAGGGGAGAGGGAAGAGGGCGAAAGAGATAGGCACATGGATACAGTGATGGATGATAATTAATCTTTGGGTGGTGAACATGAGGTAGTCTACACAGAAATCAAAATATAATGATGTACATCTGAAATTTGTTATAAACCAACATTACATCAATTAAAAAACTAAAGAAAAAGAAGTATCTGATTTCCAAAGCAAAGCATTAGTCAATGAAATGTATGATGGCAAATGATTTACCATACAGTAATTCTGTGATTGTACTGGCTCATGCAGGCCTTTAAATATATTCCAGGTTATCTATAAATCTATCCCACTCCCAGCAGAAAAAAAGAAATAATGAATGTAAGACGAGTTGCATCTAAATGAAAAGAACTAGATTTTAGAATAATTTTCCTGCCAAAGACATTTTTTTAAAACTCTGATTGGATTTATGGGAACCTTGGCCATCCAAAATCTACCTAAAAACAACAGAGCCCAGATTTACTGGACAGGAGGCACCTCTACTAACTTCTACCACAATTTAGATCTTAATTCATCCACTGCAGCTCACGGCCAACAACCTTGAGGACAGGTCCATGGAAAGAATGTTGTGAAGTGTCACTTAAATCCAATTTTCCAGTCTCATAAGGAGACAACCTACCAATTCAGTGTCAGGAGGTCAAAAAATTCTTACCAAGTACCACATGGGATGGGTACTAGTTGCTTGGACTATCAAGGTTCAACTGGA